AAAAAAAAAAATTTGTATGGGAGACTAACTTGAAATGTAAGCTTCTTTTAATTACAACAATAAAAAAAATAAATAAATCAAAACTAGAATGAGGTACCATCCTACCCCAGCAAGGCTAGCATTAATCTAAAAAACACAAAATAATGTTGGAGAGGTTGTGGAGAGACTGGAACACTTATAAACTGCGGGTGGGAACGTAAAATGGTACAACAACTTTGGCAATCGATTTGGCACTTCCTTAAAAAGCCAGAAATAGAAATACCACACAATCCAGCAATCCCACTCCTTGGAATATATCCTAGATAAGTAAGAGCTGTCACACGAATAGATATATGCACACCCATGTTCATTGCAGCACTGTTCACGATAGCAAAAAGATGGAAACAAACTAGGTACCCATCAACGGACGAATGAATAAACAAATTATGGTATATTCACACAATGGAATTCTACGCAACAATAAAGAACAATGATGAATCTGTGAAACATTTCATAACATGAATGAATCTGGAAGGCATTATGCTGAGTGAAATTAGTCGCAAAAGGACAAATATTATATGAGACCACTATTATAAGAACTCAAGAAATGGTTTAAACACAGAAGAAAACATTCTTTGATGGTTACAAGTGTGGGGAGGGTGGGGGAGGGCAATTCACTAACTAGATAGTAGACAAGAATTATCTTAGGTGAAGGGAAGGACAGCACACACTACAGGGGAAGTCAGTACAACTGGACTAAACCAAAAGCTATGAAGTTTCCTGAATACAGCCAAACACTTTGAAGGACACAGTAGCAGGAGTGGGGGTTTCGGAACCATGGTTTCAGGGGACATCTAGGTCAACTGGCATAACAAAGTTTATTAAGAAAATGTTCTGCATCCCATTTTGGTGAGTGGCATCTGTGGTCTTAAAAGCTAGCAAGCGGCCATCTAAGATGCATCAATTGGTCCCAACATACCTGGAGCAACGGAGAATGAAGAACACCAAAGACAACAGGAAAATATCAGCCCAAGAGACAGAAAGGGCCACATAAACCAGAGACTCCATCAGCCTGAGACTAGAAGAACTAGATGGTACCCAGCTACCACCAATGACCTCCCTGACAAGGAACACAACAGAGAGTCCCTGACCGAGCAGAAGAAAAGTAGAAAAGAGAAAATTCTAGTGAAAAGACCAGACTTAATGGTCTAACTGAGACTGGAGGGACCCTGGAATACGTGGCCCCCGGGAGACATGGCCCCTGGACTCTCTGTTAGCCCAGAACTGAAACCATTCCCGAAGCCAGTGCTTCAAAGATTAGACTAGACTGTGGGACATAAAATGATACTTGTGAAGAGAGTGCTTCTTAGCTCAAGTAGATACATGAGACTAAATGGGCAGCTCCTGTCCGGAGGTGAGATGAGAAGGCAGAGAGGTCAGGAGCTGGTTGAATGGATATGGGAAATCCAAGGTGGAAAGGAGGAGTGTGCTGTCACATTATAGGGAGAGCAACTAGGGTCATATAACGTGTGTATAAATTTTTGTATGAGAAACTAACTTGAACTGTAAACTTTCACTTAAAGCACAATAAAATAAAAAATAAAAGAAACCAATATCCTACTCTTTTAAGAACAATCTATATGGGATCAAATTGACAGCAGCAACTCAAAAGATAAAACAGGAGCCTTAGGGGGCAGTCATTTTATGTTAATGAGGGAGGAACAACTCAGAAATAGAGGGTGAGAATGGTTGTACAACTCAAAGAATGAGATCAATGTCACTAAATAGTACATGCAGGAACTGTTGAGTTGGTGTATATTCTCAACAACAACAAAATATATAAAATTTATTAAAAAAAAAATAATATCCTAAGTCCCCATGCCTAAGTCTCAGATGTTAATTACACTATAAGATATTGACACATACCACTCTGATATCTTTGTTAAATTCTAGGGAAAAAAGCATGTATGAGAAATGAAGCAAAAAAAAAAAAAGCATTCTTGTTTTTATATATAGTAACAGCAATAAAAGAAAGAATTCTACAGTGATGATTTCAGAAAGTAGAATAAACATGACTGAGTCACCAGGAGAAGAAGTTTGGAAGATGGGACACTGGAAGTAACCACATTCTTCTGAACCCAATCTTTATGACGGTCTTACTAACAAAATACAGGAGTTTAATCAAATTCAACTCCTTTACATGACACTCTCTGTGTTGGGCACACTTGACCTAACTATACACCAGTTACATAAATATTTAACATTTTCTCCTACTATTTTAGGCCCTGACCTCAAAGGCTCAGACCAGGAAACCAGGGCCTGTCTCCCCAGGGACATCACACCCAAGCGGTGCCCAGCCTGACATGGTGGCTGACAGAGCCAAGTGTTCAAGGATCCCAGTGGTCTTTAGAATATAAGAAACTCCCCTTGAGTTCCTCTCCCAGAGGTGGATTTCAGAGGCTGAGGGGACTGTATGTGACATACAGGCCTGTTCCAGCCAAAAATCAGCTGGGATAAAGGTCATAAGTTCAAGCAGGACGGAGAACAGTCCACTCCATGGCTCTGGGACCTGGAACAGTGTACCAACTCTGTAACTGACCAGAGTTGGGATATAGGGGCTACTTAATTTTTTTTTTTTTTTTTTTTGAGCCTTCACCTGTGGCAGCAACTTAAAAATATGTGTATAAATCCCAACTAAAGCAAGGAAACCCTAAGATAAAATTGCCACTGCTGATACAACCTTAATAGGGTCGTTTTCTCACATAGCAAGTGAATTTTGATTCTTCACTAAAACAATCTGCATATGAGACAGGTTTGGGAACACAGGGAGGGATTATTCGAATGATCAAAAGTCTAAGACAGGAGAAAATATTCTCTTGATAAAAAACTTTCCCCATCTGGGAAGATGGAGTAGATGTCTTCTTCCCTATTCCTCCCATGAAATACAACTAAAAATCCTGGGCATTATATGTAAAACAAACATAAGAAGACTGGGAAAGATGGAGAGAAGAAGGCAAATTAGTGAGGGACCTCAGGGCCCAAGAAACAACATGGTGGTGA